CGTGCCCTGTCAGGATGTGCCATCCCGGGATGCCTGTCTGGCTCCCCAGCCAGGCTCTGCCCCCAGTGGCAGGCGATTTCAGCTCAACCAAGTGGGAATATTCAAGCACAGAATTCATGGAAAAGAGGTTTTAAAAAAAAAAAAGGGGGGAAACGCCATGAAAACACCGGAACGGACCCTTTAGGCTACGGAGAGCTGACATGAGGCGGCAGGAGAAGCTGGCAGGAGGTGGGTGGTTTTGGTTACATGAGATGCTACAGGTGTCTCTGAACCCCTTCTGCAGCAGCTCAGCACAACCAGACCGCGCAGGCAGCGTCCACAGGCACGGCAGGGCAGGGCATGGCACAGCGTGGCACGGCACGGCATGGTCCCACCCGCAGTGCCACCCTCAGTGTCGCTTCAGTCCACCGTTGGTGTGCTGAGGGGGGAACTTGGGAAGGCACGGCTCGTCCGGGAGGGGGTCGTGGGAAAAAACAGAGTCCTCTCCCGAGGAGCAGGTGGAGCTGCGGGTGTCCGGGAAGCCGGGGGAATACTGATCCAGCGGCATGGAGAGGTCCAGGTACTCCTGGGGGGGACAAACCCCGACCACGGGCTCAGGAGGGGACTGGGCAGCCCCCAGGGAGCCCCCAGGGAGCACCTGCCCCACATGGGGTGGGTGCTGGTGGGAGCCCGTGGGTGCCACCTCTCCTACCTGGTTGGAGGTCATGGCCACGATCCTGTCCAGGTCTTCTACCAGCTGCTTGAAGGTGGGTCTCTGGGAAGGCACAGCGTGCCAGCAATCCCTCATCATCATGTACCTGTGAGGGTGAGAGCTGAGCATGGGGCCAGCAGATGGGGACCCCAGCCATGGGAGAGGAACACCCAGGAACAGACCCCTGCACCCAGGCTGGGACCCATGGCCAGGGAGGATGCTATCCCAGGATTTAGGGTAATCTCCTGTGGGGGAGGAAGGGAATCCCCCCAGCCACCCTCGCAACCAAGGGGCTGTCTGGGGAGGAGGATGGACATGGCCTGGGCTGGTCCCTGTACTGGGATTCCCTCCTGCCATGGGACAATGGAGGGAGATGCTGATTATTGCAAACAGATCAGGCTGATGGTTTTGCAGGGCTGGGAATTGCTGGGATTGTAGATCCAAACATCTGGCTGTCCCCCTCCATGCCCCAGCCTGTGCCCTGGGTCAGGCAGTGGCAGCCAGACTTCCAACCCTGCCTCACCAGTCCCAGCTGGGCAGGGAGTGTTGGGGTGCCAGTGTCCTCCCTCTTGCCCATCCCAGTGCTGCACTCACAGCTCGTTGGTGCAGTTGCTGGGCTTGTCCATCCTGTGACCTTCCTTCAGCAGCTTGAAAAGCTCCTCGACGGGCACACCGGGGTAGGGAGACCCGCCCAGCGTGAAGATCTCCCACAGCAGCACCCCGAAGGACCACCTGGGAACACAGGGTGGACACTGGGGCACCAGCTCCGGGGGGGCTGACACCCCACAGGGCCCCAGTCTGGGTACACTTAGAGGCCGGTTTGCTGGGAGGGACAAGCACCCACAGTTTCAATTCGCTCTGCAGGACAGACAAGTGCCAGCACCAGATACAGTCTGGATTCGAAATATTTGGTCGGCTGACGCTAATCATAATTTCATTAAACTAAGATGAACCCCATCCGTGCACTTCCCCAGCGGGCACTACTCACACATCGCTCTGGTGGGTGTAGATTCGGTCAAAGAGGGCTTCAGGGGCCATCCACTTCACCGGCAGGCGACCCTGGGACACAAAACCCCCCATTGGCTCCGTGCCACCCAAGCGTGGGGGGGTCTGGGGCAGGGGGCAGCCCTGCACGCCCATCGCATTCCCAGCACTGTTTGGGGCACCCCTGGCACCCCCACCCCAGCAGGACCCCCCTGGCCCAGCCCTCACATTTGTCGTCTTCTTGTAGTAATCGATGTGGTGGATGTCGCGGGCCAGCCCGAAGTCCGCGATCTTCATCACGTTGTCCTCCGTCACCAGCACGTTCCGGGCCGCCAGGTCCCTGTGGATGCACTGAGCGAGCGCGGGGCCGTCAGCGGGTCCCCGACACCCCCGGGTGGTTCCCCAGGATGGACCGGGCAGGGAGGGGAGTGTGCATCCCTCCAGGCCCAGCTGCCAGGCTCCCCATCCCGCCACAGCCCCCCGGGAGCTTCTCACCTTCTTGGAGGCCAGGTACTCCATGCCCCGGGCCACCTGGTAGGCGCAGGAGACCAGGTCCTTGAAGGAGAGCTGCTCCTCGGGGACACGGGTGGGGTTGTAGCAGTACTCCATGCCCGGGGGCCGCCGGGCTTGCAGGTACTCCCGCAGGTTGCCCTTGCTGGCGTACTCCACAATCACATAGAGGGGTCCTGAGGGGATGGAGGGATGAGAGGCTGGAACACGGAGTGGGGGCTCATGACCCCACAGGTGCCAGGCCAGCCCCTCTCAGCGGATGGATGTGGCTGGAGGGGTGGCAGAGGGGACACCCCCATCCCGCTTGCACACCCTCACCGTCCTGCGTGCAGGCTCCCAGCAGGTTGATGATGTTCTTGTGCTTGCCAATCATTTTCATCATCTCCATCTCAGAGATGAGGTCAGACAAGTCCTTCTCTGTGGCGTCGGCTAAAGTGGATAGAGCAGTGGTCAGGGGGGACCAGGCAGGGTACCCCTCAGTTGCACACCCCCAGCACCAGCCAGGGCTCCAGCACCGTGCCAGAACCCCCACTTACACTTGAGCATCTTCACCGCCACCTTGGTCACCCGGTTGGGCTTGTCCTTGTCGAGGCCAATGGCTTCTGCCAGCACCACCTGCCCAAAGCACCCTTCTCCCAGGGGCTTGCCCAGGATCAGCCTGCCGGGAGGAGACCCCAGTGCAGGGGGAGAGGGTCAGTCACCAGCATCGGCACCACCACCCTCACCCAGCTCCCACCCGGGGCAGGGCTGCCCCTCACCTGTCCCGGGGCAGCTCCCAGCGCGGGTCCTCGGGGAGCTCGTACTCGGAGACGCCGGCCAGCATGGGGGTGCCGCTGGAGGAGAGCCGGGAGGGCCGCACCAGCATCACGCCCGAGTTCATGGAGGAGCTGGAGTCGGCCGACACCTGCAGTGGGACCGTGGGTTACCTTCACGCAGCGCCCGCGGCCGCAGCCGGCTGCCCCCGCCGGGGAGGAGATGCCTTTGCACCCGCCCCTGCCCCCAGCCCCCTGCCCATGGCAAGAGGTCATCTGTTCTGCTCCCACCTGGGACCTGGACTATGTATTTTTTAATTAATCTGCATCACGGTGTACCCAAAATGCACAGCCCGGGAGCTCCCCTGGCTCCTCAGTGTGTTTAATGACCCCGCTCTGCTCAAACCTTGAACTGTTGTAAATTCTCCTGGTTCTCCTCACGAGCCCTGCTGAGGGGGGAGGCGAAGGGGATGTGTGGCCTCCCCACTCGCTGTGTTGCCATTGGAGGCACAGCCTGGGCAGTGCCCATCCCATGCCATGGATGGGCACAGGGCTGGAGAGGGCTGCACGTGCAGCAAGGTGAGATGGTCCCAGTCTCCCCGTCCCTCCTCCCCCAGATCCCCCGGGAAGGGCTGGGCTCCAGGAGGGGCAGTAGGTACAAACAAACCCCCTCTCTACTTTCTGTTACCTGTCTGCGCAGGGGGATGCTCTTGGCCAGCTTGTGCACGGCCAGCTGGCTGTTGAAGTCCGTCTTCTTGGTGGTGCTCTTCAACTTGTAGATGATGATGGTCACCACCATGCAGGAGATGAGGAAGGCCCCGATGCAGTAGATGATGATCTCCAGGTAGAAGGGGGATGTCATCATGGCTGGGGTGTCTTCAATAGCTGGTTCAGCATGAACAGGGTGTTCATTAAGCACCCACCAGCCCCCAGGGCCCAGGAGCAGCACTGGGGGAGCCCCTGGCTCCTCCCCACGCTTGGTGGGGACCTCGGTGCAGCAGGGACTGCGGGCTGCCCACCCACCCTGGCAGGGAAGGCACTGTTGCACCCCCCAGCTCCTCATCCCCAAGGCCAAGCAATGCCTCCACTGCATCCACAGGCACCAGGGGTGGGATGGGGCCAACTGAGACAGGCATGAAGTCACCCCATAGGGATGTGGCACTACGGGCACCTGCATGGACAGGTCCCTGTCACTGCTGCTACACTTTGCCCACGCTCAGAGCTGCAGGTCCCTTGGGGTCTGGGCTTTCCCTGCACACAGTCAGATGAAGGGGAGTGTCTGGCAGTGCCCGGGGCTGCAGGAGTCCAGGCGTTACCAGTAAGTACTGGGGAGAGCTCAGGGCAGAGCAGCCCGTGGCACCTCCAGTGGCAGTGACCTGCTGTGGGACCGTGGGATGGCGGGGAGGAGGGACCTGCAGACCCTGCCTTGGTGGCTGAGGTGGTGTCGGAGCCGTGAGCAGCTCAGAGCTTGCAGCCACGTGCCAGGGTTCGTGGTGAATCCAGCAGGGCGGGGGCTGCCACTGCACCCCCTGCAGCACCCCCAGCCTGACCCCCCCAAAGAGCAGAGCCTCAGAGAGAGGTGTAAGAGGGAGCTGAAGATTCCTGCCCCACCTCTGGGCACACCCGGCTGACAAAGCAGTGGCTGATAACGGGGAAAGTTTTTGGCTGGCAAGCAGTGACCAGGCAGCACCACAAAAACTTTCCCGCTGCTGTTATCCGGCTTTGGTCCATGCATTGATGCAGAGGAGCAGCATCAATGGGGATGGGGCAGCCGTCCCCACGGCGCAAGCACACACAGCCCCGCACGGCCCCACACCACAGGGCAAGGCCAGGCCCCCGCAGGCAGTGCTGCCAGTCCCCCAAACCCTGCTCAGTGCCCCCTGTGCGGGCAGGGCTGGCCTGGCCCCGGGGATGCGGGACCGTCCTGCCCCAGCGGAGCAGCCCCTGGTTAAAGTTCCCCAGGTATGCATTGCCTGGGCCAGGGAGAGAGCAGGGGGCAGACAACTGGGGTGGAGGTGGGCAGAGAGTGGGGGGGACACTGCCCCGTCCCGCTTCAGCTGCAGAGCAGCCCTGCAGCATCTGTGCTGACCCACTCTGGGGGGCGGGGGCCGGGAAGTGCTCTCTCCCGGACCGCAATGCATACGTTGGAAAGGAGGGAGGAAAGGGAGAGGAAGAGGAGTATATACCTTCGAGAACTGTCAACCATGCAGAGTGATGGGAGATCCCAATAGAATTACCCGCCAAACATGTATACTCCCCAGCATCCTCAAATGAGACATTCCTTAAGTGAAGGACTTCCATTTCTTTGTCTGTCGTGTTAACACCAGCCGTCTGGAGGGAAAAATGGAAGCAAAAAACGGAGAAGCAAACCACATGAGATCTTCTGGGAAGGAGGCCAGAGAGGAGGGAGAGCCCAGTCTCATTTGCCAGACCCCCGGGGAGCAGACAGAGACCACTGCAGACCTGCTAGAGAGACCCTCGGGATGACCACTCATCCCGGTGGACCTACGGAGATGCTGGTTAAAACCCTTCACCAAACTGAGTGTCCTGCCCATCCGAACATGCTGGCGATGGGCTGCATGGAGAAATCAGCCCAGGCAGAGCCGGTCGGCTGGCTCGGTGACACGGGGACGAGGACGAGGATGGGGATGGGAGGACAGAGGCAGGAGGATGGAGATGGGAGGGCAGAGATGGAAGGATGGAGGCAGTAAGGCGGAGATGGTAGGATGGAGACAGGAGGATGGAAATGGGAGGATGGAGACAGGAGAGCAGCACAGATGGGGGCACAGCACTGTGTGATCCCCAGCCAGGCAGACGGGGTGCCCTGGCTGGTGCCTGACCCCACCAGGCACCTGAGAGCACCAGTGTGTGCACAATAGGGTGGGAAGCACACAGGAGACACACCAGGACACAGGAGACACACCAGGACACAGCAGAGACACCAGGACACACACACAGAGCACAAAGCCCAGCCGGCCCCGCTGGGTATTTTTCCATGGTTGTTGCACCAGAAACACAGCAGAAACCAGAGAGCCCAGGGTTTTGTTTTCCACCGCCGGGGAGCGACGGTCCAAGGAAACACCCCGCCGGGCGTCCTTCCGATTACCTGTGGCCAGGGGCCTGGTGACAGTGAGCCACGCAGACTGGTTGGCCTCGCCAATATAATTGGAAACCTTACAAACATACTCCCCGCTCTCCGCCTCTGTCACATTATACAGGGTCAGCACCTCCGCATCAGAGCTATTAATCCCCGAGTGCTGGAACAGACCAACAACATGGAGTCACATGGATGTGCTCAGGAATGGCAGCACCGACAGCATCAATCAGCACAGGGGCTGCTCCCCCCGGTACCCACGGCCAGCTGGGAGGGATGGGGCTGCACACAGGGAGCCACAGGAGGAACAGGGGACACAGACGGGCATGGGGGTGTAACCCTGCTCCCCCCTGCTCCACAGGGGTCAAAGGCACAGCTGTGGATGGCTGCATGGAATCACAGAACGGTTTGGGTTGGAAGGGATCTTAAGAGGCCACCCAGTCTGACCCCCTGCCACAGCAGGGACATCAGTCAGACCAGCAGCCAGTTTGCCTGCTGAGCTGGGGGCAGAGGGAGCTGCTCTCACTGGGACGATCCAGGGCTCAGCTCCCAGCTCCAGCGCTGTGCTCTCTCCCCAGGGCAGCCCTCCCTGCCCTTCACCCTGTGATGCTCTGGTGCACCCCGGCAGGCTGGTGACAGCTCTGGGGCTCCAGCTGCCCCAAGGCCAGTGGTCCTTAGCCCCAGGGGGCTCTTCTGGCCCATCCACGTGGCTGCCACTGCCCCGCTCCTGCCCCGGGGACGGGCGAGCCGGGGGCTGCAGCCAGGGCTGCCCAGCGTGTGGCTTTACCTTCAGGATCTGCACGTAGGGCAGGTTGTCGGGGCCAATCTTGCTGCCGTTCACCTCGATGTGCTTCAGCCACTGGATGTGTGGCTGGGGGTCACTGTAGACCTTGCAGACAAACTCCACGTTGCTGCCGAGGGCCACGGTCTTGTTGGCAGGCAGCCCTGCCTGCAGGATGGGCCGATGCGGGGAGCGCTCTGCGGGACCGGGGACACGGGGCACCTTACAGCGGGGTCTGGAGTGCCCACTGCCCACCCACGGGTGCACCCCGCAGCCCCCCACGCCCAGGACGTGGGTACTGGCACACCTAGCACAGCCATGGCATCCCCTCCCTGAGAGCAGCCAGGGACAGGGACAGGTGAAACCCCTGCACGGGGACAGGGACATCGGCACCTATTGGGGGGGTCAGAGGTCAAACAAACCTAGGGAGGGCCCCGGCCGTTAACAAAGCGGCTGCCACTGTGGTGAGTCAGCATTAACAAACCCCTTTGTTCACCTCGCTGACTGTTCCCTTCAGTTTGCTCAGTGTAATCAAATTAAATCACATTTTTAATGGTTCATTTACTGGCATTTAGAGCAGCTCCACATGTGGAACTGCTCAGACCAGCCTTCCCAGCTGGGAATTATGGCTAATAAGGCGATTAAAAAAGTTTCTGTCTGGTCTATGAAATTATTTTCACCACAATTAAAAATCCCCAGAACAGGATGAGGTGAACCCTCTGCCTGGATGGCTCGTGGACCTGCTGTGCCACAGAGGTGGACACAGGGGTAGGACGGCAGAGGGATGGCAGGTGAGTCCCTTCCCTGTGAGCACTCCCATCCCTGCCTCTGCAGGGTGCAGCACCCGTTCCTGCTCGGGAAGGTTTGGGGGGATGGGGACGCGGGTGAGCCCCCCAGCCCCGCGCTCCTCACCCACGACATCCAGCTGGTAGGTGTGGTTGATGCTCCCGTACTTGTTCTCCACGATGCAGGTGTAGTTGCCCTTATCAGATGGCACCACCGAGTCCATGATGATGCTCCACGTCGCCTGGCGGACCTGGGGGCACGGGGAGGACAGAGCCAGTTACGTGCAGGGCACACGAGCCCCTGGTCCCGCTCACGTCAGAGCTGGCTCAGCCCCGGCCCCCGGCGCGGGCGGGACATAAATCTCCCTTTGAGGTCACCTTTCCCCTTCCCCACAGAAGGGCTGTAATTGCTCCCAGCTGTCCTGGGACAGCCTGGCCACGGAGCCAACTGCTCCGGGAAGCAGATGTTGGGAGGGGAGCGCGATGGGTCCGCCCAGTGTGCGGGGACACCCCTCTGCAGCGGCCCCCGTGTGAGCAGGGAACAGACCGGCTTTGTTCCTCCGGGAAGAGCTGCTTCCCTGGCTGGCCCTGGGGCTCGGACCCGCACTGCTCCCCACAGCCAGTGGGCACCACGCTGGTCAGTGGGCGGGTGCAGCCTGCACGTCCTCCGTGAGTGCTGCTGACCCAGTGCGTCTCCTCTGGGATGGTCCCAGCAGCTCAGCTGGGCTGAGAACCTCCCAGGCACCCTGGCCACGGGGCACCAGAGGCTCTCCAACAGCCAGCCCTGTCGCTGCCAGCTTCGGCTCTGGCTCCTCTTGGCAAAAGCTCCCTGAGCCCTGCTCCGTGGGGCTGCATTCCTCCCTCCCAGCTGGAAACTGGCAGTTTGCACAGTCCTGCATTTCAGCCCCATTAGCTATCCGGGGCACGGGCTGCCATGGGCCAGGAGCTGCCACGCTGCCAGCAGCCTCTCTCCTCCCCACCCATGAGCCTCCATCCCATGGGGAGCCTGCATCCCTCCCCAGGACACACTGCATGGAGCTGGGAGCCGTGACATGGCTGCGTTCCTGCTGCTGTCCCTGGCACCTGGCACGGCCACGGCTGCTTGTGCAACTCAGTGGCACATCGTGGACACACAACCCCAGGCTGGCTCAGGGGTCTCAGCCAAGGAGACACCCCCCAAGGGGTGCAAGCCTCAGGGAGGCTGCAGTCCTCCTCCTGAAAATTAAGAGAGATGGAAAAAGAGGATTCTGGTGTCTTGTAGGGTCATCCACAGGTCCCTGGGCTACAGCTGCTGCAAGGGTCACCCCCTCCCTTGGGGAGGAGAGAAACTTGGGGGTCCCAGCATGCTGGTCACCCCCCCAGGGCTCTTCTGCACCCCACTGCAGGACCAGAGCCATGGGAAGGGGAGAGCCAAGCCCCCCTCCCACCTGGGTGGCACCTGCAGCCTGGGCCCACTGTGGGTGCTGGGGAAGCAGCACTGAGCCCCCTCCCCAGCTCAGGGAGCCAATGTGACCCCTGAATGTGGGCTGGGGCACCCCTGGGCTGCTGGTGCAGCTCCTGCCAACCACTGCTGGGCACGGAGGGGCTCCTCCACCCCGGGGCCCCCGGGGACGCCCAGACCCCTCTCCTTGGCGGGGGGATTAGGTGGAGGCGGCCGAGCCGGGCTGGTTCCCTCAGCACGAGCCTCCTCCCCCATGAGCTCCCTCCCCCAGGGCTGAGCTGGTGCAAACATGACCCAGAAGCAGGTCACTGCCGTAGGGCCACTCCGAAACAGGAATGTCAGAGGGGCCCATCTGCCCCCGCCAGGGTGGCGCAGGCAGGGGCTCGGTGCCTCTTAAGCTGCAGAGACCCTTCCCAGTCCTCCCCCTCCCTGCAAGCCCCCCAGCCCTCGAGGTGCAGAGGCTGTTCCCCCCCATCCCATTCCCCCCCGGTACCTTGTACCCCCCGATGCGGTGGTCAGGTTTGAACTCTTTGCCGTTCTTCAGCCAGCGCAACGTGGGGTTGGGTGTCCCGCTCGAGGGACACTTGAATTTCACCGTTTTGGCGGCAGGGACAGCGTGGAGCTTCTTCTCCATCTTCTCAGGGTAGGTCCAGTATGGAGCAATGGCCTCTGTGGAGCAGAGTGGGGGCTCAGTACGGCCAAACCCACCAGCCTCCAGCCCCGGGTGTAACCCCAAGGATGCCCAGGGCAGGGCTGAGGCAGGAATCCAGAGAGATGCCAGCAGTCAAGCCTGGGTCCGGTAGGGAGGGGAGCTCCGGGACATTGGGCATTATCCATGAGTCACAGCAGCCCTTTCCTTGCAGGGTGCGTGCTCAGCTCACGTGGCTGCAGCAGCAGTGGCCCCAATGAAGCCGTGCTGGTCTGTCCCCTTGCTCTGCCCTGGCTGGTTCACCCAGTGCACCCAGACCTGCACCCTGCACTGCACCCTCACCACTGCCGGCCAGGCTCGCTCAGGCAGCCCCTGCCCATCCTCACCTGCCTGTCTCCACCCCCGGGCAATGCTCACGTGTGCCCAGCCTCCCCTCGCCCTGGCACAGGGCAAACCCCGCGCGCACGTACGGTTTGGCTTGGTGTTATCTGCCTCCTTCTCCTCCGACGAGGAATCATCTTCGTCATCATCATCCTCCGCAGAGGGCAGCGCGTCTGCAAGAGAAGAGATGGCCCCGCTGAACATCTGTGCACCTTTGTGAGCGGGGCTGGTGGGGACCAGAGCATGGTGGGTGGGTAGCAGGGAGCTGTGCCCAGTGGGGTGGCCAAGGCAGGGAGTTGCTGATGCCCAGTGGGGGCACGGGGATCCTGGGGAAACGCTCTGCACACCCCCAGCACAGCCAGGGCCAACAGTGCCACCACCCCAGTGCCCACAGCCATGGGCACAGTGAAGCAATTTGCTGATAGAAGTGATTTCGGAGCTCCTCACCCCGTGTCCACCAACCCCCCTGGGGTGGCAGCTGAGACCCCACAGGCACAGAAATGCCCCAGCCTCGGCGAACACCTCCCCAGCTCCAGCGTTCCTCCCTCTCCAGCCTCACACTCCATCAGCACCAACACAGGCTGTGGCTCCACCCAGCGCGTGCCCCTCCTGGGGTGGCCCCGCAGCCCCCCAGTCCCGTGCAGACAAACACACAACGACCTCCGGCCGCTTCTCCCCGCACTGCAGTGTCCAAGCAGCCACGGCACCGCGCTGGAAACTCCTCCAGGCACCCCCGAGTCACAGGTCGGCCCCAAACTCACTGCGTGTGGCCGGTGGGGCGTGCAGGCCGTGCAGAGGCAGCCTGCTCCTCGCTCCACAGCCCGGCCCCCGCGGCTGCCCCTTCCCTGCGCAGCCAGGGCTGCTACAAACCTGAGACGTTCACGGAGAAGTAGGTGGTCTCACTCCCTGAGGGGCTGTTGGTCATGCAGGCATAGAGCCCCGAGTCCTCGGGCACCGCATCCCTGACCTCTACCTCCTCCCCGGTAATGCGCGTCCGGTTGTTCTCGGCCAGCTGGACGCCGTCGCGCACCCAGTTGATGCTCTGGACGTCATCCCGCAGCCGGCAGCGCAGCTGGAGGAGGTCACCGGGGTGGGCCGAGTAGGACTCCACTTCGATTTTTGCTTTGGGCAGAGCTGGAGGAGTCAGGGGAGAGAAGAAGAGAAAAAAAAAAAGAAGGAGAAAAGGAACAGAGACCAAAGGAAACCATGCTGCTGCTGCTGCTGCTGCAGCTGGGTTAATGAGGCAACATGCGCTGCTGGGATGTTCCTGCCGTGGCACTGGGGACCCCAGTACCCAGGGGACAGAGCCGGCGGCAGCAGCAGAGCAGAGGGGAGGCAGAGGCAGAGGCTGCAAGCACCCCAAGCAGCACCAAGTGCTTCACCCCGCAGCAGCACCCACTTGGTGCCTGGGGAGTTCCAAAGCCCTCACCCCACTCGGATCCTACGGAGTGTGACAGGGCAGGGCCCTAACAATGGGGGAGAAACAGGCAACTTGAGACAACTTAGGCAGTGCCGGCTGCTTGGGCAGGATCCAGCCTCTCCCAGGAGCATCCCACATCCCTGGTTGGCTCTGCCACCTTGCAGGGGTCCCGGGATCCCAACCACAAGCGGGCAGCCAGCAAAGCAGGCCAGGGTCCCCATGGCACCAGGACCCTCACCCCAGTTAGAGAGCGGCGGGGCAGGGCTGGAAGGGCAGGGACTGGGGGCTGCGGCAGGACAGCAAGGCAGGGAGTGAGGGGGGAAAGGTCAGCCCAGGGGAGCTCTGGCCAGACAGGTGCCGGCCACGGCGTTCCCATCCACAGCATTCCTGGGCAGGGGAGCTGCAGCTGCTCCCCGAGGCGACACTTGTGTGAGCAGTACAAAGATCCTTTCTCTCCGTTCCACTGCGATCTCATCTCTCCTGGCCCTGGTCTGTCCTGGCCTTGATGTGTCCTGGCCCTGGTCAGTCCTCGAGCGCTGACCCTCAGTGTGCGAGCGGCTCTCCTGGTCCCAGGTTTGGGGCAGACGCTGGGTTTCAAACAACCTCTTCAAATTCCATGGCCCAAGGAAGGGCTCAGGCTGCTGCAGCTCTGCTGGGGCTCCCTACGATGACGTGGGTGATGCAGTGTGAGCATCACCCCAGACCAAGCCCGACGGGCTGGTGGGCACAGCTCCGGAGCCCGACTCCTCCGCTCTGTCTCCTCTCCGGTAACGTGTGTCCGGTTGTTCTCGGCCAGCTGGATGCCATCAGGAAGCTGCAGGAGCAGCACAAAGGGGCACACGGTACTGCTGTGGATGCTGCTCTCAGGGGCCAGAGACAGGGCCAGAAAATCCCAACAAACGCGGCAGAAACAGCCGGGAAGTGTTCAAGCTCCAGCTGATCCATGGCCTGAGGTCTGAGCCCCCCAGGACTGCTGGGTGCCCAACGAGCCAGACAAGCACAGCCTCTGCTCCCTCCTTTGCATATGTGCCTTAAACAGCCATGCAGCAGCTTTCTCTGGGCTGCCAGCTGCAGAGTGGCACAGGGTCTCTACTGGCACAAAATCCCCTGGAGCAGAGCTGAGGTGTGCGGGTGATGTGGGGCCGGGACCAGCAGCTCCTTCCTGCTCCTCCCTGCACCCACCAACCACTCTGTACAGCCAAAAATGAAACCTTGGTTCTCCAGACTCCAATTCGCTGCACCATGACCTGCATTTTGCTTTCTGGCCACTTCTCTTTGCCTTGGACTGATGAGAAGCTTCATGGAGAAAACATCCCTGAGTGGCTCCAGAGTTTCTCCTCTTTCTTTTGCTCAGCACTTGAAGGAAAACAGTGGAATGGGGAAGAACTCCCTTTCCTCAGCTGCTGGAATACCAAAGCCAGGGCTCCAGATTCATCCATGAGAGGATACAAAGCATTTAAATGTGGAAGGGGAAGACCAAGAGGAGACCCTTCCCTGGTGGGGGAAGGGCCTTGCTTTGCAATGCTGTTTTTCCCTGATTTTCTCCCACAGGAGAGGCACTTTTCGCAGCTCTGATTTGTGTTTCAAGTGATTAGTCACAGGCATCTCCCAAGGCTCACAAAGCAGCAGTGACATCCCGTCCTGTCCGTCTGAACACCCCGGGACTGGGTAACGGTGCGTCCTCCTGCCTGTCCCAACTCCCTCCTCACACAGAGCAAGGTCAGTGGGTGATAAACAGCCACAAAAACACAAACCACCACGAATCTGGTGCTGCAGCCATATCTGCCCTTATCTTGCTCCCAGCTCTGCCCCATACACCCAAGCACCGACAAACTTCTTCCCTATGGAACAGAAAAACCCTGCAGGGAAACCAGGGAGGTTGCTCCTGCCAGCCCCAAGCTCTGCCAGCACCCCTCAGCTGGACCTGTGGAGGTGGCTTGGAGGTGGAAAAGGTCTTTGGAGGGGGAGAGATTTTGGGGTATCTCAGCCCAATGCCAGGGCTCGGGGAGGCAGCGTCTCAGGCTCAGGCGGGTCCCTTCCCACAGGCACGGCATCACACAGGTCCCCTGGCACCCCCTGCAAGTGCCACTGCTCCTTCAGACCACTGGGCTGAGGAGCTCAGGCGGGGGCTGCCGGCATGTGGCCAGATCCCCTTCCAAAGCCCCCGTTCCCTCCCCCAGCCCCACCAAGCCAGGGGCTGGTTTGCATCACCAGCACGACTGGGAGGTGATGGACGGAGAGAGAAGGCAGAGGGCACGGCAGGCCCCTGCCCCTCGGTCACCCACGGCACATCTCTGGCATTCGGGATGAGGCGGAAAACGCAGCATGGTGGGAACGGCCTGGGAACGAATTCACAGGCTAATGAGCATGTCCAGGTTCACTCAGCCTCCTGGCGGGAGCAGGGCTTGGACGGTGCTGCGGCCCTGGCAGGCAGACAGCACTGTGGCCACGGGACGGCACGGATGGCACCGGGCAGCCTGGATGGCAGCAGGGACACCGGGGACACGGGAGCACCGGCGGCGTGAGCTGTGGTACCGGTGTGGCCTCCACTCCAGCTCCCGAGGGTGAGCCCGTTTGATCGCTGGACTCCATCGGCCCAAAGCGTCCCTGTCTCACGTTCTGCTTCTCTGTAACCTAAACCACAGCACCAGGTGCAGCCCCTGGCACAGCCCCACGGCAGAGCCCACCCTGGCCGGCTGCTCCCCCCAGGCACCAGCCAGTCCTGCATGGGTGCTTCTCCAAAGGTTAATCAGCCAGACAAATGCTTGGCTCTCCTCCCCAGGGCTCGGGAAGGCTCCGGGTGCTGCCGGCACCGCACAAAGGTCAGTGGGTGGGAGTCCCCACCCCAGCCAGGAGCTGTGGGGGTGCTCACGGCCCCATTGAGCAAAGAGGGCAACAGTGAGGAGAGCAAATGAACAGCAGTGTCTCAGTCCCACAGGCAGAGCTCTGTCCCACCCTGCTACGGCAGGGACAGGAGGCCCCAAGGTGCCCAGCAAGGTGAGGGGCAGCTCTGGCTGGCAGTGCCTCCACGAGCCCCCCAGCTGCCACGGCCGGGGCGGTCGCTGCGGGTTTATTACTTTATTCCACCTTTGAAATGGAATCGAGAGCGGAGCCGAGCCCGGCGAGCGTCGGCCAGATGGAGAGTGTCACCGAGTGCATATAACTGTCACCGGCTCCCCAGGGCTGGCCCCCGATGGGGACGGCGGGGATGGGGACGGTGGGGACGGGGACGGCGGGGAGAGGAACCACAGAGATTCACCGACACCCCCCCTCCACTCTCCGTGCTGCCCGTGCACCCCCCGAGCAGCGGGAGCCACAGGCTGTGCGGCCACGGCGATGGTGACGATGGCAATAAAGGGGCCAACAAAGCGGCGCGGGGACAATGCGGGCGGGGGGTGCGGGGCCGCGGGCGCCGGTTGCCCTGGAGACCCCAGCGGGGCTTTCCGAAGGTATTTCCTGAAGAAAAAGCACACACATGCCCGGCAGCCCCGCTAATCCCAACAGGAAGCGCTTACCGGGACTTGGGGATTGGCTTCTTTTTGATTTAAAAAGCTCCTCGCCCTGCCGTGTCCCTCCCAGCCCGGGCTGTGCCGGGGGCATGTCCCGAGGGGCAACATCCCAGCACTCCAGCTGCTCCCAGGGCCATGCATATCCCTGGATCTCCTGCTCCGGGGAAAGGCTGCAGCAGGGAGATGCCAACAGATGAGCATCAGGAGCTCAAGCCACTCGTGGTTCTTCTTGGGGTGCTCAGGGCATCCCTTGGCTCCTCCTGTCCAAGCCAGCCCAGAAGGCCATGGGCTTCTCTGCACCCTCCAGTCCCTGGCTGCTTCCTCCACAGGGAGAGGGGGATTTATGTCCTGCTCCAGGCCCCCCTGCTCTCCCAGCCTGCACGGCAAATGAAGCAGCACTTAATTAACAGGCGTGTTGGGAGTTCGCAAAGCTGTCAGGATAAACCCACCCCTTTCCCCCCAGGACCCCCTGACCATGCTCAGAGCTCTGCAGCAGCTCAGAGCCCTGGGAGCAGCAGCTTGGGGCACCGACACCCCCCCATCAGCTCTCCCCAGGCACAGGACGGATGAGGGTCGCAAGTGAACATCCCAATCCACACAGATTTTGGCTGGCTTTGTCTGGGCCCTGGCTCACCACCAGACCTGAGTCTCTGTTCCTCTCCCTGCATCCCTCCTGCACAGCCCTGGACAGTCACACACGGGGGGCTCAACAGCCCCCAGACTCATGGGGATCCCCCTGAGCCCCCCAGTGTGGCTCCGCTCCCCCTGGGGCAGCTCCACAGCCCAGGCTCTGGCACAGTGTAGCTGCTTTTCCCAAAGACTCATATTTCCTTTTTTCCTCCTCAATTAAGGGCTGGAGTGACACCATCCGAGTGGAAAGGCAGGAGGAGGGAACAATGTCGCCCGGCAGGCTGGGAGGGGACGGCAGCAGCCCCATGCCCTGGAGGACACAGCGATGCCCGGGGAGCTGGGATGGGGTGGCTGCAGCAACAGGGGTCTGGGGGGGCTGCTGGGGGCTGCTGGGCCCCCCGAGCTCTGGGAACAGTCCTGGGCTGCTGCCATCAACAGCAGAAGTGCAGGAGGCTGCAGGCTTGGCAGGGAATCCTCAGGCTGCTTGTGGGGCTCCAGCAAGGAGTCAGCTGCTCCAAGGGATCCCCAGGATCCAAACTGGATCCCCTGGGGCTCCCCAGGGCACAGGGTGGGAGAAACAGAGAGCTGCAAAAACAGGGAGGGGATGGGACAGCAGAGAAATGGGGAGGGGGTCAGAGCCAAGGGCCAGCAGTGCTCCCGGGGAGCAGCAGGGACGAGCCAAGGACCCTCGAGGTGCTGCCTGCTGGGGTCCCCCAAGCTGCCCGGGCTGAGCACGCTGCTCACCCTAACTTCTGGCTCCTGCAGAGCCCAGAGAGAGACCCCCTGGACGAGCCAGGGACAACAAAGCCCCGGGATGCAGGGCCCCCGGCGGCCCCGCAGATGGGCAGGGGGAGGTTAAGCCTGTGGCCAGCTGGGCGGACGGCGGCCCCGGGAAATGGGGCAGCCCCCCGGCCCCCGGGGAGGGGGCTGCAGCCAAACCCCTGTGCTTTGGAGTGCAAATGCACTCCCTGGGAAAGTATCTGCTGCACCGGGGGGGGGGGGGGGGGGGGGGGGGGGGGGGGGGGGGGGGGGGGGGTGCCTTCGGGACTCAGTGTCCCCCAGAACCAGCTGCCCAGGGCAGGACCTCCCTGCTCCCCACAAAAATCTGCTCGGCCGCTCAGCACCCCCAGCAGGGCTGAGGCAGACCCGAGCGAAGAGATGCCTGAGCAGCAGCCAGGACAATGGCAGACAAGGAGAGAGGGGAAAAAAACCCTCAGCAATTTTCTGCAGGTTTCTATTTAACCTGGAGACAAAGAGCAGCTTTGTGCGAGGGAGGGACGGAGGCTGCGCACGGAAATTTCTTGGCTTTTCCCCTTAACCAGGGGTTTTTCACCACCTCCAAATTTAGGTAACTATAAAATGCAGTAAGTGCCCATTAATATTTTATTTGCTCCAGATTTTTTGGTACTGGGAGCGAGCCCACGACAAGCAGAGCTCCCAAATCCCCTCCCATGCCACGAGGAGCGGGGGGAGCCAGGGCTGAAACCCCCCTCTGCGCGAGGCCAGGGCCGCTGGCCGGGCGCGGGGGATTACTCCTCCCCGAGAAGGGAGCTTAGCTGCCTCAGAACTGGGAGTAAACTGAAACCCTATAAACATGCAGAACAAAGTCCGGGAAAGCTGCTGCCTCTGCCACAGAGGGGACCGAGCGTGGTCGCCGCTGCCCCCGAGGCGATGGGGGGATACTGGGGAGCCACAGGGATGTAGGGGAAGGACAGAGAGCTCGGCCCCCGGGACACAACACCCCTCAGCACGGGAGCTGAGCCCCATCCACATCCCATGGAACCCCAAAACCCACGGGGCCGAGTCAGAGCCTGCTCCTGCGAGGTGCTGGTGGCTCGGCCCCGGCTGCAGGTCCTGGCCCAGCACCGGCTCTTCCCATCCCACATGTCCTGCTGGGAACATTTTGTTCCCACCAGCCAGCCCCAGAGCCAAGGGACGGACTCTGCCCCAGCCGGGCTCCTGCTGTGGCACTAATTGGGCCGCCCTGGTGAGAACCATGTCGGGAAACGTTTCCAGAGGTTATTGTTAGCCCTGGCATGAGGCTGGCGAGGAACCAGCTCCCTCCTCTCCAACCTCTCCTCCTCCACTGTCACTGCCTGACGCTGCTACCAAACCCTCCAGGGGCTGCAGGGCTCCTCAGGCACCCCAAAACCCACCTCTGCTCAATCAGCCCTGGGCCTGAACTCCCCAACACCTTTCCCAGCACCACAGCTGGGGTTGGGGCTGCCAGTGCTGCTCTACCAGCAGCACAGAGCCATCCTTACCCCAAACACCACCAGGAAACCTCTTCCAGGAAGAGCAATCTCCTGAGAAAAACATGTTTACCACTGTCAACCGCATTGTTTACAGACGTGGGGAGGAGGCACGCCAGTGGAAAAATCTCAGCAATGGTCCATGTGAGCAAAGCTTTGCCCAAGGCTCCTCTCTGGAGCTGCAGCTCCCCAGGACCACTCGCGCTGTCTCCCGTGGTGTCACCTCACAGGGTACTCCCCGCTCCGACTAGAGGCACCAACCCCAGCCCCATGGCATCACCCAGTCATCCCTCACCGAGGCTGGTGCAGCTGCAGCACGGACCACTCGCCAGTGCCAGCTCCCACCCCGAGCCCTGAGAGGACCCTGGGGCACCACGAGCCACTGTGCCCATGCTGGCTGCACCAGCAATCTGCCTCTCAGGGTTCTGGTGGGAGAAAGGAGGAAGGGGGAGCGAGTCTTAAAAAGCAAAGCAGTGCCCACAGACCAGACATTCTTGGGTAATTAGAACCAAAAGGCAGCAAGTCGAAGTCCCGCGCGGCGCAGCCGGGTCTGGTTATTCTCTGCCTCACCAAGGGGAAGGCCAAGGCTCTGACACACCAGAGCAGGGCTCTCTGCCGGGGCCCACTCTCCCCAGGGCCAGGCAACCCCCTTGGCCCATCCACTGTGCCTCGAGGTGCCCCCGTGCTCTGGAGCTGTGCCAGGCACTGCTGTGCTGTGACATGGAGTGGCCCTGGGCAGGGACACAACCCCCAGGGCTCTGTATCCTTCTCCAAATCAACAGGTCAGGGTTTGCCACAATTCTTCTCCAGCTTTAAAATGTCCCCAGGCACTGCTGGAGCCGCACACCCGCTTCTGTGCCCGCACAAACTGCCCTGAGGACAAGTGCCATGTCCCCACGGGCACCAGCTCCCAGGCAGCCGGGTGGCACTGCAAATGGCACTGGGGACATGCTGGTGCCCCCACGGCTGGACCACGTGCCAGCCTCTGCCTCTGCTGCAGGGAGACGGGCTCCTGTCCCATGAAGGACGAGGGAGCGGGGGCTCCGTCGCGGCCGCGGCGCATCGGTGTGTCCCTGTGTCCCTCTTACCTTGGTCGGGCAGGCTGGGGGCCGGCCGGGCAGCGGAGAGCGCGGCTGCGACCAGCACAGCCCAAAGGATGAGGCACCGCCAGGTAAACATCCCACTGCTGCAGCTACTGCTCGGCGACTGCGCTCCACGACTCCCACTCCATGGGGACCCCGGGCTGGCCCCGGGCGGGCGCGAGGCGGGTCTCCACCGGGCTGTCAGCCCCTCCGAGCTGTGAGGGAGGAAAGCAGAGTCAGGGCAGGGCGAGGGGCTCCCCCACATCCCACCACATCCAGGCACGGCTGCGCGGTGGGACGCACTCGCCACCACAGGTGACACTCCTCCAGCATCCAGCCAGACAGCGGGATGTCCCTGGATCGTGGGATGTCCCTGGACTGTGGTGGCAGGTCCCCACAGACCCCTCAGCAGCCTGACATGACCCAGCACTGACTGGAAGGGTTATGTTTCCCTGCGTAAAAGCGTTGATGTGTCGAGAGCAGAAAGCGCTGGCGAGGCAGAATCGCACGCAGCAGAATTTCCCAGAATGGAGGGAGGAACATTAATGCCGGTTAAAGAAAGGGAGATTCCTCCTCTCCTCTTCCTGCACTTCATCAGCTGTTGATCCACAGCTTTGCTGTGGGAAATCCCATATCCAGACCAAAATCTGACGTTGTCCCTGTCACTGTGCACCCCAGCAAAGCAGATCCCGCTGCAAACCCAAACCTCCTCCATTCCCTATAGGATCTATAGGGCACACAGCAGCCACCCCCACGGAAAGGCCTTTCTGGAGCTGGAGGGTCAGCCAGCTGCGGCCAATCTCTTTCCACCAACAGCTGTTTTTGGAGTGACTGTTTGGGGAGAAATCCCCCTTCTTCCACGGCCAATTCTGCAACTCACTCTCATCCCTGCCAGCTCTCATGCTGGGCTCTCCAGCCCACCCATTCCCTCGGGTCCCCATGCCCTTCCCAGGGGATGCTCCATGCAGGGCAGCTTCAGAGGCGAGTGCTGGCACAGGGAGACTCAGCAGAGCCTGATCCCGGTTCAGGGTGCCGCAGGGATGTGCCCTCCAGGGCCCTCATCCCTCCTTCCCACTGACCATCCCTCCTTCCCACCATGCCAGGATCACAGAGCTCTGCCAAGACACGTTCCAGGGGGATGCTGGAGCCAGAGTCCGACCGCCCCCGGCCAACTGTTCCCAGCCGAGTGGATGGGAACAAGCCCCTGTGCTCCACCCCCGCGCCACATCTGCACCTCGGCAGCAGCCTGGGACGAGGTCCCGACACCCGCTGATGGTCCCGCCGGGCTCTGCCGAAGCGCTCGCGGCGAGACCCTGCCCAGCCCGTTGCACAACCCGCGCGGCCCCGGCCAGGGCGCTGCTGGCGGCGGGAGCCACGGGGGAAGCGCAAGGATCAGGGTGTGGACAGGACGACACCATCCCCAAAGCCCCCCCCCAGGCCCCTCCTGGGGTGCAGCTGTGCCCCCGGGCCCCGCAGCCCGTGTCAAGCACCCCAAGCTCACCCGGTTCCCCTCCCGAGGGCTGCACGCTGTGCCGTTCCCGTTCCCAACCTGCCGCGTGAACGGGCGCTTCCCTTTGCCATACGGCGTCAGGCTGAAGTGCACGCTGTTAAAACCAGTGAGTAATAATCATAGTGAGTAATAAACCGCTACTCATCCTCCCCACGCACTCAGCCCGTGGAGCTCTGGCCGCCGCCTCTCTCGCTCCAGCGTGAGAGCGAGACCCTGTGCCCGGAGCGCCAGCTTTTCCCAACGGATGGGCTGAGCAGCCACCAGCCCCAAAGGGCTCAGATCCCCCAAACAGCCTCCACACCCCAAGGAAGCCCAGCCAGGGTGCAGGCCTGGGGGCTCTGGCTGCCTCCTCCCTGCCCAACTGCTCTGCCTGCAGCCAGCAGAGGAGTATTTGGGAGCCAAACTATTGTACACAAGGAGTCAGACAGCAAAAAGGGCACCTAGCAAACACTGGTGTTATCTCCAACACCAGTGCTCCCAGGTGCCGGGCAGTGCTTGGAAACAGTTATTGAATGTTCAGGATTTATCAGGGTTTGGAAAGGGGGAGGTGGAATTCTTTGAGGGAGGGGAAAAAAAAAAAGTCCTTGGTATTTCTGGAAATTATTTTGTGTCTCTCAGTGGCTTTGTTTATCGACAGCACATGCTCCCCGGAACATGCCCTAATGCGGAGTGTCTGCGTGGGCCTCCCGAGCCGGCCCTGTGCCGAGGGGAGGATGGAGGGAGGGAGGGATGGAGGGATGGAGGGGAGCCCAGTGCCTCCAGTTCCTGAAAAATGAGTCAGTGCTGGCTCGTGCACAGCAGAGCCCTTCTCCGATACACCTCAGAGCGGGCGCCTTCCAGCTGATTCAGGGCCTTGACAGCAGCATATTTCCATGGCGTAGGGATCGCTCGGCAGCGCAGAGCTGTCTGTGGCTAGAGGGTCACTGGGAGGGAGGGAGGGAAGGAAGGAGGGAAGGACAGAGGGAAGTGTGCCAGGACTCAGCGGGAGCACACTGACGATGGTTGGCTTCCCTGGGCAGCAAGGGAGGGGGCAGCAGCCACGGCTTTGCTGGAAGGCAGCAGGACCAGGACACATCCTGACCACGGGGAGCAACCCCAGCTTCCCGCCTGCTCTCCCCAGACAGGCTCAGCAGCACCTGAGGGAATCCCAGTGCTCAGAGATGCTGAAGGGGCAGCACAGACCCTTTCCTCCTTCCCAAGGGAGAAGGGGAGACTGGGAAGCCCCAAGACACCTGCCCTTGTGGCTCCTTGGTGCCCACTCGGGAAGGAGGTGAGGAAGTGGGGAGAGTACTCCTACCTGTGCAAACATGGTTCTTCTCTGTGTTTATACAGCTTTTATATAAATCCCAACAGGAAACCATTTGCTCTGGAGGATGGCAGCTCGGGCAGGGTGGGTCTCTGGCTCCTGCCGGGCACCATCCCCGCTCCCCGTGGCCCCAGCACGCTGCAATTTACTGCTCCGGGGTGGATTCAAACAACTAAAAATGGAAGCAGTAAGAGAGGAGCCAGGGCTAAATGCCTCTCAGAGACTTGCCTCCAAGACTGCAATTACTAGCGGCCATTACACCCACGGAGCTATTTCAGAGTGGTGACAGACACCCCTGTGCCCACCCGTGCACCCCCTGGGGGCACAAGCTCCCCCGTGCACCAGGGAAGATGCTCTCACACTGCCTTTCCACGCCGGTATGTCCACTAGGAGCCTCGTTTAACCTGTCCCCCTGCCGTCCTCAGGGACCCCAAGGGCTGCACTCTCACCCCTCGTGTCTCCCACGGCCCTGAGTCACAGGGCTGAGCTGTCCCAGGGACACGGCGCAGACGGGACCTTCCCACTTGGACAGCGGCTGCACCCCATGGTTCTTAGCTGAGTGGTTCTGAGCAGGGAAGCCCCTTCCCGTCCCGTGGCTCATCCCTGGAATGCATCTGAGGTGCCAAACGCAGAAGCCAGTGCTGGAGCAGGCTGCCCAGCTGGGGCACATGGGGCTCAGAGCCCCGTGATGCTGTGACATCCACAGAGGAGCCCCAGTCTGATCCCTGTGTGCCCACAGTGCTGGATGTGAGGGGGGGTGGCTGCTGCCATGGGCTGGGTGAGGCTGGAGGGGCTCTGGCCCCTCGGCCTCTGCCTCCCCGTTGGAGCAGAGCTGGCCTGTGGCATCCACCACATCAGTGTACGGGGTGCCTCAGTGCCAGCAGCCAGTGGGTAATGCAGAGCAGGCAGGAAAAACACAGGGAGAGGCCAAATCCAGCAGGGAGAAGAGTCTGAGCTCAGCTCCCGGGTCTGCACAGCGTCAGGAGCCTGCGCTGGGGGGCTGCGCCCAGCCAGGGTCACCCGTCCCTCGAGGGGGGACGTGGTGACCCCCAGCAGACCACCCTGCTGGGCAGAGATGCCCTCCAGCTCCAAAACACAGAAAGGAGACTCGTTTTCCTCTGAGGCTCAACACAAGCAGCCCTCCAGGCGCCCTTGGGGAGGAAGGACATGCCAAAGGCACAATCCGTGGGCGACAGGAGCGAAGCCTTTCCCTTGCCCAGTGCTCCGTGCCCCAGCCTGCAGCTCAGGTCAGGAACCAAGTATTTGCTGAAATAAAAAGCAAACACAACTGCAAATGGAACTGTAGGGAAAAACTATAATGCTTAAAGCAGACACACGCTTGGAAAAATAAATATCCAACTGTGCAGCATACAGAGCACATTAACCCTTCCCAGCTGGCCACCAGGACTTAGGGCTACCGGGGGCATCTCTGGCGCTGAGCTGTGGGCATCTGGTGGTGGGAGACCCTGGCACACAGGGCGGGAAGAACAGGGAAAGGCCCAGCGTCACCCACAGATCTCCATCAAACCAGCTCAGTTCTAGAAGCATCCTCACACTCAGGTGTGAAAATCGAGGGCTCGATTTTCAGATCTACAGAGCAACCATTGGTATCCCGAAGTCTCCACTGGGCTGGTCCCCCCGACTGCACTGGAAGTGGACTGGTCAAGGATGGTGACACTGGGACACGACCACAGCCTGCCATCCCCTGGAAGGGGCAGAGGCCCGTTGTCCAGCCTGAGAGGGAGCTGGCTGGGGCTTTCACGACATTCTGCTCCTCCAGAGAAAGGGGAGCTGGGAGGGGAAGGACACACATTTGCCTTCGTGCCCAGAAGCAGCAGGTCACAAAGGGGCAGAAAGTCAGATTGCCGGGATGGGATGAGCTTCCAGCAGCCAGGGCCTGGGGGGCTAGAGCACCGGGAGGCACCAGCTGGGGATGGAGGCAATACAGCTCCCGGTTCAGGTTACGGGTTTAGGTGGTAAATAAAGAGGGAGCTCCAGTTCACACCTGAAAGGGACCCGGGCCCCCTCCCACACGGCCCGGGCAGCAGCTCGCGCGTGGAAAAGCCCAGACGATGCTCCCGCCGGCTGCCCTGGCCCGGCACCGCTCCTGCCTGCACCCCGCCGGAGCGGGGGCGATTTATTTTAATCCTCTCGGAGCAACACAAGGAAAAGGCAGCAGTGCATGCCAGCCAGCACAGGGATTAAGGGAGGAAGTGCTCCTGAGAGGGGAAGATGGCTGCTAGCCAGAGCAGGGGGCTGCGGGGCCCACGCTCCTGCGGCGTCCCTGGGCTGCGCGGGGGGGCTGCCCCTGCGCCCCGCTCCTCTGTGCTGGCATCCAG